TGAGCAGTAAATTAAACGGTAGTAATAAGGAGGGGAGGGGTCGTACCGATACCCTCCGAAAAGGAAGGGGTCGTAAAAATTTGGAATTTGCGCAACGCAGGGTTGACCCTGCTGCTGCGTTCTCTCTACTCGAACTTCGCTACCGCTCTCCGCGGTCACATGATCTCTCATCTCCCTGCCGGCCTCCTGAGGCCGGTCTACGGACAACTTGAACTCAGCCCTTTAAACCGCCTCGATTTGATGCTCTCGCCTGCGCTCTCTCGCTTAAACAGCGGCTTATGATTACTGTGATCTGATGTATTCAAACTTTGCCACAATGTAATTGGCTCACCACTCGGAGTCCCTCCTCCCTCAAGGCTTAGTCCTAGAGCTCTCACCTTCTTGGTTGGGATTTGGAGCCGAGCCAGGCACCGTTCTCTAATCGTCTGTGCTCTGGCCTTTCGCGGCAGAGAACATAGGGGAGAGTTCAAGTAGTCACGTAATCCTGGGCCGTAAGGTATGCTTCCCCGAAGGGTTAGGGGACGAAAATCCTTTAAATTTTCTCTGTCTTCCCAACTGGGATTGTCCTGATAAAGGGCCTACATTTAATATATGTGTGTAGGTTAAAGTAAACATGCACTGAAAATGAAAGAAACAGTATCGTTCAAAACAAATAAATTTTCGTCCCCAAATATTCGGGAAAACATACCTTACGGCCCCTGAACTTTGCAGCGTAGAGCAAAAGCCTCGTATTTCCTGTGTATTTCACGATTTTTTTCCTTTTTTCTCCACTGGCGGTCCACCTCCCACCCCTACTTTCACATTTGAGTGGAATTACCTCATCAATTAATCCTGAATCTTGCCTTTAAAGGCAAAATCCGAGATTGAACTGTTATTGCTTGCAAGTGACAGTAGAGTGAAGTGTAATGCAAATAATTAAAGAACGCGAAGAAACTGTCGAGAAGAGCCGGAGTGAGCTCCCTCTTCCCTCTTCTACTAGTGGCGAAGCGTACTAGCAATAATTTGCAGCGGAGTCTACGTGCTTATGATGTATCCTTAGCCCTTAGGACCTCAACACTTAAAGGCGGATTTCACGATGAAAAGGTGGCTTATTGGGAGTAAGGAT